AAAGCTTTGCATGGAATTTCAGTTTGTGCCCTTATTTTTTAAAGCTGGCAACTGCTAAGGAGGAGCCTTTGAAGGGAAATACCACACTTCAGTATCCACCCACTACAAGCTCCTGCCAGAAACAAGATTCCAAGCCAGATGTATCTTTGGTCTGAACCTATTTCTATGTTCTTATGCAGTCACACACAATATTTGAGCATAGTACCATAGCAAAACACTAAGATATACCTGTGCTCCTGGCATGCCTGGTGTCATTCATGCTGGAGGGCTGTGTTAATGCTAAAGCCTACTGTTCATGAAGGATGTTGGTAATTGTCAGAGAGTTCAGAATGAAAAGGATGGCAAAACAGCTATTGCAGATTCAGCTCAGTCTATTTATCTTACAAAGAGAGGAGGTTAAGGGATGATTTGGTCAAAGACTACTGGTGTTTACAGGGAGAATGCAATATTGAGATCAGAGTCCTCAGTTAACATAGGACAACCCTAATGCTGAAAATAGACAAGATCTGATTGGAAAGATGGGCCAGATGTTCAACTGTGCAAATAATGAGTTTATTCCCAAAGCCAGAGCTGGAGCAAACAGATTGATTCTTCATTAAAGATCCTTCTGACTGAAGTTTGGATCATTTTTTTTTTTTCTAAAAATATGTACTGGAAACTAAACAAATACAAAAAGAAGAGACCTTGTGACCTATGCCATCCAACAAAATAGTGCTCTGTTTTGCTTCTGTGATTGTTATATGCTTCTGTTCCTTGTACTGGCAGTTCTGACAATTTTTCCAAGCAAATCAGGGGTGTAAGTGCAATCCTGACCACAGATGCCTGGCAGATCTGATCTCTTCTTGTGCAAGCACTGGGTACATCTCTGGTCTCTGTGCTGATAGCTTCTCACTTGCACATGCCCTGAACCAGGACGTCCTTGCAGAGGCAGCAGCCATTTGCCTCCTGGAATCACAGCCACCTACGACACTCAGCATGTCTCTACCAGCTCACTTCAGCCTCTCCTGGTGCCTGCCAAAGGTAGAGGCCCTTTTGACACACCTTGGTCCAAGCAGTTGGTCTAGTCCTGTGTTTCCATAATACCCAATGTAAACCACCTTTAGAGTGCTCTAAACCCATTCCTCTATGTTCTATCCAACAGGATCATGCAGGACAGATTATATCCTTCTTTGAAGGCATTTAAGACCATTTTCATGCCTCACTGCAGCCTCCTCCTGCCTTGACAGCACCGATTCCTTGCACCTCTCCTGAGGGGTCACAGCTCTCAGTAGTTTTGCTGCTGGCCTTGCTCCAAGTGCCCCTCGTCTGCAGCCCCAAGGTGGACATGGGGCTGCAGGCACTCCACTGACACACACCAAAGCCTCAGGATCTGTCATGTGTGTCTGAGAGCAGAACTTTGCCCCCTCTTAATCGTATCTCATTTATCAGCAATATAATGCTTTGCACATTATCATCCCAATTATAAAGGCTTGTAGGTGATAATGAGATTCCACTGGATATATTCCAGCAAAGCACATTCTAGGTTTTACTAACTTCATTAACCAAGAAAAGCTGGTTAATGGCAGAAAAGTGCAACGATGCACATAATCATACTGGTTACTTTGCTACTACAATTATATTATTAAGATGGATCTTTGAGGTACAGTTTCCATGTATAATTAGTGGTTTATCCCTTCAGGAAGAAAAAAAAATCAAAAGCACCCTAAGGCTTGAACAAAACGATTCTTACTGAGAACACAAATGAAGCTGTGCTTTCAGGTCAGACTCCAAATGGGATTTGTGAGCTACAGGAGCACAAGAATTTGGAAACCCAACAGAGGCTTCTGGGAGATGTGAAGTGCCTGAGTATGAATTGCAGCCCCTGACACCCCCCTGTGTACACAGACATGCACGAAGGATGTCTCCACCTCACCAGGCACTTCGCTTGTCCCACAGAATCGTAGGATCACAGAAAGGCTTAGGTTGGAAGGGACCTTAATGTTCATTTAGTTCCAACCCACTGCCGTGGGCTGGTTGCCCCCCATCAGACCAGGTGCCCAGGGTCTCATCCAACATGGCTTTGAATGCTTCCAGGGATGGGACATCCACTGCTTCTCTAGGCCTCCTTTCCCCAAGATCTGAAGTCTTGGAGTTTTCCATGAGTACCATGAAGGCAAAAATCCCACGAATATCAGAATTACAAAATGTTTAGACCAGGGGTTGCCCAACTTTTTGGCTTGTCTATGCTGCACTGAGTGAAGAGGAATTGTCTTGGGCAATTACGTCATGGAATCATAGAATCATTCGAGGAACTCTTAAAAGCCATCTGGTCCCAACCTTGTAGTTAACGTATATAATAAGTAGCAAAGCTACTTCACAAAACACTTCAATCTCAGACGAAGAAAACAAGATCCTCTGGGCAATCGAAACAACGGGAAACCCTCTGATTACTCCTTTTACAAAACAACAAAACAGAAGACAAGAGCACTGAAAGCCTGATTTTTTGGTTGCTTTTCTCTCACAGTTAAATCATGCTTATCATCCTGACAAAAAACAAAATGCCCTTTTTTTTCACCAGGAGTTCTCTTACAGATCTAATCAAGTTGTCAGGAGAAATACCATTATCCTCACCGTGTGAAATTAATCTATGAGGAATTTATCTACTATACTGAGTGTGTATATGACACCCATTGGGATCAGCTCACATATACATCTTCTGCTGGTAACCCTTCATACAATAATACAGCCTTCACAACTGATTCTGCAGTCATCCTACAGCATTTAGCATGGCTGTTCTGCCTCGGAGCTTAGCAGGAGCCCTCGGTGGATTTAATCAGGCAGGCAGAGCTCAGAAATTCTGCTGGAATCCTTGCTGCTATTAGAAATATGCACTATCATTTGCTAATTCAGGCTCAGAACCAATTCAGAAACTCAGAGCAATAAATCCTCGTGTGAGCGTTGAGCCCTCTGAAGCGTATCCTGGAGCAGTCATTTTTGGAGAGGCAGAATACACAGAGGAATGTAGAGCGTCTAGCCAAAATTTTATTTGAAATACTCTTCTTAATGAAGCCAAAGACTTTTCCAAAACTGAAAACCTCTGCTTTTTCTGCTTCTGACGTCCATGACCTTGCACAGGAGCAGCAAAGTGCAGGCAGTCCTGGCAGTGCAGAGGCTGTTAGCCTCCCTCCCTAAGAAAGCAGGATTTTTATCACTGGTACTGACCAAAAAGGATTTTACCCCGTGTCACAAGGCACCGTCACATCTCTGTGCTTCAAAAATCCTGCAGCCCTCTGAAATCTGTCAGAATCTGCCAACCCTGAGAAAATCTGCAGGTGAGGCTGTCAGCTGCATGCACATACAGACGTGTTTGCTCACATTCATCACTAGCCTGACACTACAAGAGGTGAGAAGCAGCCCTGACACTGGGCATCAGCAGCAGCCCAAACCCATGGCCCACAGCAGTGAGACCCAGGCACCTGCTGGGTTTTCATAAAAACTGATCTTCTCATCAACTGTACACATTTCAGGCTCCTTTGACATTCTTCTCCACAAAAGCGAGGTACCATATCCTCAGGAAAAATATGCTTCTGCTGATAAACACTTGATTCTTGGCTTGGATTTGTGTTCTGCAGCAGTCTGGGTCACCACCCCGGCTGGTGGTCTGTGACTGCATTCCTTAAATTCAGTGAAAGAGTACAGAAGAGCCAGTAGCTCCTACTGCATTATCAGCCCCCAAAAGGCCACTGAGTGTGATCCCCTGTTGCTGTACTGGGAGCAGTCAGCTCTGCAGAGCCCAAAAGAATGAGCCTCAGCTCTCTTCCTGCCTTTAGCTCCTCCTGGCTCCTCCGTAGTCTATCTGTGTTTGTTGAAGGACTGAAGAAAGGGTGAGAAGTGCAATCCTGCTGCTTTAACCACCCACAGCCAACACAGAATGCAGCTGCTGCTGTAAAATGATCGGCTGGAGATAGGGAAAAGGAAGTCACTCTGCTGGGAAGTCAAATGCAGAGATGTACTTGGGCTGCCTGGGTAACTTTCTGCTGCAGTGTGCGCTTTGCCTACATGATCACGTGCTACTTGGACTCTCCATCTCACTCAGAGCCCAGATTTGGAGCCAGATGCCAGCAAAGAGGGGGAGCAGAAAACCCCACATGTTACAAGATAAAAGAGGGGAGGTTTCAGCTGGAGGTAATTCTCTACTCAGAGGGTGGTGAGGCTTTGGCACAGGCTGCCCAGAGAGCTGTGGATATCCCAACCCTGGAGGTGCTCAAGGCCAGGTTGGGTGGGCGCTGGGCAGCTGATCTGTGGGAGACACCCAGCTTGCAGCACGGGTTGGGGCTGGGTGGGATTTGAGTTCCTTCTAACCCAAACTCCGCTGTATTTCTACACTGGGGAAAGGACTGACAGCAGTGCCAGATTGGATGCCACGTACCACGCGCAGTACACCAGCATTGCTGACACTAAGTCATCCCCAGCAGCTTTCTGGGTGCTCAAATAGTTACTTTGGTACCAGCAATGTCTTTTTGGACACAACCAACATTTTTTTGGGTACCAACACTATTTTTGGAGGGGTGCTAATAATGCCTTTCGGGATATCGATAGCTTTTGAGGTACTAACAAGAGTTTTGGAGTAATTCTTTGGATACTAACAGTATTCGGGACGTTTTGGGGGTACTAACAACAGCTTTTTGGACAATGACCCCCGGGACCCCCCACTCCTCCCCGCCCCCTGCACACGTGCCTCGCCACCTGCGCCGCCGCGCACGCCTCGCCGCCCCTTGTCTGGCCACGCCCCTCCCCTCCTCCTACCAGCCAATGAGCGGGAGGGGCCTCTGGCCGACGGCCAATGAGAGAGCGGCGGGCACCCCTCCCCTCCGTTCCCGCCGCCGCCCCTATTTAAAGGGCGTCGCGCAGCCGCGCGCTCCCGAAGAAAGCGGAGGCGGCGGTGGGAGTGGGGTTGCGGCGGTGCCGCGGTCCGGCGCGCAGTGGAGGGCGCGGGCGGGCGCTCCCGGACGGCGCCCTCCATGGAGGCTTTCCCCGGCGGCAAGCTGGAACCGCACCGGCACCTCCCTCCCGTAGAGCGCCTGCCGGGCGCCCGCTACGGCGGCCGGAGCCACAGCGCCTGCGGAAACGTCTTCAACTCGTGGAACGATTACCTGGGGCTGGCCACGCTAATCACCAAGGCCGTGCGCCCCGGCAAGGGCTTCGGCGCCGAGCCGCCCGCCGTGGTGGTGGCGGCGGCCGAAGAAGAGGAAGAAGAAGAGGAGGAGGAGGAGGAAGAAGCGGCGGGGCCGTACTTCGAGGGCGCGCTGGACTTGCACGAGCTGGAGCTGTGCGGGCACCACCACCATCACCACGGCGACGGGCTGCTGGAGGAGCGCTACGCCGACTTCAGCCCCTTCCCCGGGCGCGGCGGCCCCGCCGCGGTGCTGTTCGACTGCTCGGGGGAGCACGCGGGCCGGGACGGCTCGGCTCACGCGTGGGGCGCGGGCGTGGTGGTGGCGGCGGGTCGGCTGCCCTCGCACCCGCGTGCCGCGGGCCGCCTGCTGAAGCCCGAGCTGCAGGTGTGCGTCTTCTGCCGGAACAACAAGGAGGCGGTGGCTCTGTACACCACTCACATCCTGAAGGGACCCGACGGCCGCGTGCTGTGCCCGGTGCTGCGCCGCTACACCTGTCCCCTGTGCGGCGCCAGCGGGGACAATGCCCACACCATCAAGTACTGCCCGCTGTCCAAAATGCAGGCGGCCAAACAGCTCCGGCACGCCCGGACCGCGCTGGGCAAGAAAGCCCGCTAGGAGCGGGGCGCGGGGGGACTGGCGGGCGGCTTCGGAGCGGCCGGGACGCCCTGTACGTGTTTCTTGTAAGAAATATATATATATATGTGGTTTTTAAGAAAATGGGATTCGCCGCGAGTCCCGACGGGGGCAGCGCTCGGGGCGGGCGGTGTCTCTCCCCGCTGCCCGCCCGGCCCGGGGGAACGGCCTCCCGCTGTCCGGCGGGGACTGAAGGGCTCTGAGCCCCTCCCTCGTCCTTCTTGGAACCGTTCGGGTTTCTCGCTCGGTGATCGGCAGCCCCTCGGCTAAATGGCTGCATCCGGGGAGGGGGAGAAACGGGACGGTGCCGCCCGGCTCCCTGTGCGTAACGCACGGCTTTGAGGCTGGGAGGTTGGAGCGGCGAAGGACTGGCGGGGGTTGCGCGGTGAGCCCTTCTGGGGCGCAGAGCGGACCCTGGTGTGTCTGTGGGCTTCTGAGGAGACCAGAGCACGGTGCGAAAGGAAGGTGATGCGTTTGTAAGGCTGAAGAGTGTGGCTTTATCTGGATGCGGGGGGCAGATCCACCCGTGTGGTTACCAAGTAGCTTTAACGTATACCGAACACGGGGCGCAGCTCCGGGAAGTGCTGAGAGCCGGCACGGGGCTGCGTCGATCTCGAGAGGTGGGGAATTTGTTTTCATTGCAACTTGAGGCAGGAGAAGGAGCGGCAGCAGCAGGTCTGTGGGTCTCTTCGGAGCCCTTTGGTGCCAGGAGGGCAGTGCAGAAGGGTTCTGCTCTAGATGGCTGTACCCAGATTCACCTGAGGGTGAGAAAGTCACCGGGTCCTAATGGGAAGGGAAGCTGGGCTTCTGAGAATGAGAATGAGAAGTGACAGGTATCAGAGTGAGTTCCTGCTGGGGAGCTACCCGACACGGTGGGAGATTGAAGCAAGCAAGTGGGATGGGCAGGAGAGCAGTCAGGATGTGCAGGATTGGGAACAGGGGTCACTATTCAAAACTGCAGCTGAGAACAGGGTTGTGGATGGAAGCGCTCTATTCAGGCTTCATCAGATTGCTTCAACGATGGCATTAAGTCTAATTAGCAAATGTAAATGGACTTGCATTAAGTAACATCTTGCTGTGGCTACAGCTGGTTGTACAGAGCTGCCTGTTGGTTGTGATGATACCAGCTGTGTGCTGTCCCTCCTTCCATGAGGCTTGCCCTGCAGGTTCTCAGCTGGTAGGATTTAGGTGTTGGATTTTATGATGTCTGTCTGCACCGCAGATTGGGATTGAACTCCAGTGTAATGCTGTGGGGAAAAAAAGCTTTTTGTTAGCTTCTTGTGGGAATGTTGAAAATGAGTAGATGCGTTTCAATTGAGGTGACTGTTCATGGACACAAAAGCAAGAAAGATGTAAAGAAAAGATCTCAGACGCTTTCTGAGGGGACATTCCGAGAGGGCTGCCATACACTTGCCCCCCCTGGTTTGTAGCTTAAGCTACCCCATAGCAACTGCCCCACTGCACCGCCTGGGAGCTTGTCAAGACAGCAGAACATCTCCCTGCCTTGGATGCCAGCCCTGTCCTTGTGCAGCACCTGTCCCTGCCCTCCACCTGGGTGAGAAGCAAGCTGCTCTTGTGATGGTGCCTCCTGCTGTGTGTGCTCAGAGTCCTGCTCTCCGTGTGTACCTGCACTGCGCGGCATCAGACCTGGGAGTCGGGTCCCAGCAGGTAAGGCAGCAGCGGTGGCTGGAGAAAGCAGCTGCGGGTGGGAGGGAAGCCAACCTAGTTCAGGCTGAGCTCCCAGAGCCATTTCCTGCACACCAGCACACTCTGCAGCACTGAGCAGGCAGACACACCTGCTCGTGGTCACTTAAAAGCCTGTTACATAGATGCTGCTTACATGGAGACTGAGACAGCTTGTGGTAGTAACCTTAACTCCTAGGAACAGCACGTGCCTTCATCTGCCAGCAGCCCACGTTGGAAGCTATTACATGCTCCACAGAAGGTGTCTTGTTGAGCCTGATGCCATTATCATTTATTCTGCACGCAGCTGCAGATCTAAAGATGGATGGTACTGGTTTGAAGCAAGCACTTTGCCTTCAGAAAAACCCTTGATTTCAGGGAAACATTCCTAGTTCTATCATCAGTGGAATCTTTTCCGTGGTGATGTTCTGATGAGGAATGAACAGAGCACCAGGTAGCGTATCATCACCCTTGGTGGTGTCAGTCTAAGCAAAAAGCAGGCTCCTCCTGGTGGAAAATGCCTTTCAGATGTGTTGATAACTCACTTCTGCTCAAGTCAGGCAAGTGTGGTGCCTTTCAGTCGCAGCTGTTCCTGGCATGGCAAAATAGGGGAGAACTGAGTACTTGTTCTGCCACTAGCATATGTATGTCCTACAGTTCTGTAACAAACTGCATGCGGTGGGGACTCGTGGCTGAGTAACAGGTGGGTTTTAAATCTGAATTTCACTGATGACCTACCTTTACTTTGTGGGTTTACCAAACCTACACTTTATTTGCATAAGGAAAACTTGCTGTTCTATTTATTACTGTGGTCCTTTACTACTACAGAGAGAACTAAAGGTCTCTATCCCAGCAGCTCCCCAGCTGAATTCCCCCCTTCCCACAGGGGCTGACTGCCCCTGCTGGCAGTAGGTGCAGGTTTTAGATGTTGGATTTGGTCAGATGAAATGTCTGACCACTGCAGTTATCTAAAAAGATCACGCAGTGAAATAAATACATGGACATGTCTGTGTAGTTGCATCTTTCAGGCATTTGTGATGCTGCCTGGTCCTGAGCATTGAATGAGTTCCAACATATATAGCAACATCCATTTAGAAAGTTAAAAACACAAACTCTGGAACAGTTTCATTTGGTGCAATGGCCCCATTTATCCCCATGTAAACATGGCAGTACAGATAAAATTTAAAATAATAACTGAAGATAGGTCACTCTTTACAACTGTCTGATGACAGGATAAAAGTTAATGTGGCACTAATGCTCAAAAAAGGCCAGAAAGACCATTTGAGAAACTGCAGTCCAGATGATGTCACCTTATCCTTGCACCCTGGTTAGGATGATAGAGAAGAACCCAAGAGCCATGGGTTCTTCTGACAGGTTAGAGGAGTGTTTCTCTTCTACTTAGGACTCATGAGACCTCACTACTGCCCCAGTTTGCCTCCAGTATGGGGAAGCTTGTGCCAAACTGGAATAAATTCAGCAGAGCACCAACAAGACCACAGGGGCTGGATGGAGGGGGCAGGGCTGGCTTAGACTGGAGCAGGAAAATTTGGGGGAATCCTACCAGCCAGTACCCCAAGGCAGTTAAAGCCAGGCTATTTACAGCACTGTGTGGACAACAAGATGAGAGGCAACAGGTAGAGGCTGAAAAGATATTTAAGCTATTTTACTGTGTGAGCAATCAAGCATTCCTTGGAGCTTTTCAAGACCAGCCTGGGTAAGCATGGTTCAGAGTTAACAGTCTGACTTGACAGTAAGAAGTGGGGCCAAAGCACTTAACAGGCACTATTCTGTGGTTTTCTGGCAGCAAATAATGTAGGTACAGCAACAGGTGCCCGAAGGGCAGCCATGGCCTGCTACCCAAATCCAGGAGGTGGAGTGGATGCCATTCTCTAGTGCCATCCTCTGTGGGAGCGTACAATCACTGATTGTTGTTCAGAAAACACTGTGAGGAATCCTGGAACTTGGCAAAATGAAGTGACAAGCTCCCAAAGTTACAATCACCTGGCCCTCAGGTTGGTTGGCTTAAGAACAAAGTTTTCCTTAGAAATGATTGAGTCCTGGAAAGCTCAGAAAAGGACAAGAAGAAAAGCATTACAACTGATGTTCACACGCAGTAAAATTAAACAAGCTTTAACTCAGGCTAGATTCTCTCTAAGTGCTCTGAGATTCTCCTTCAGATAGTATGGAAACTGGTATGCATGCACACCAAGAAAAACTTAACAGCTGTTCTACATCAAAGTGCACTGCAGGAAGTTACTAAAAAGACACTGTAGAAGCTAATTCCATAAGTCGTTTATTTATCATTGAAGAAACACACAGCAGCAAGTTCTGTGTTGGCTTCAGTATGACCAGATAGTTAATTTTCTTCTTCATCTCAAAATCAACGTCAACACAGCCATTACTACAAATCACTTCTTTTGGAAAGGGAAAGAATTTACCCTGAAGACAAAGAATTGGGGAAAAATTCAACAACTTCTCCAAAACCACACATTTTAAATATGACAATATTTATAAATCCTTGAAAGGCATGAATTATCCAGTAATGGAAAAGCAGTTGTGCTATTGCAACAGAAAATACATAGCAATATGCTTACCAAAACACTTAAATTGTAAAAGCTTGGAGTTTTGTGTCTGCACACTGCAGCAGTATACATTACTGGAAAAATGACTGCAACATGGCTTCATGTATTCAAGTAAATCTACAGAAAAGATCCCAGTGCAGCTAATGCTCATAACGTCTGTTGTGTTTAATTCAAATTTAAACAACTTACTGAATTTAGATGATAAAATGTCTCCCAAACTGCCTGCCCTCAAAGATTGTAAAAAGAGGGGGGGAGGGGGTTATATTTTTTTTTTTTCCTTTTTTGGCAAATTATGGAAATTGATCCAGCTCTGCTTTTCCCCTAATTCCACTGTGTGAATTGAGGTGCTTTCAAATGCACGTTCAGTGATAATATCCCATTCCCAATTAAGACAGACTAAAAATATAAAGGTCAGCTTGTTTTGGTGTGAAACAGAGGCATTACTCAAGGCAGCCTGCTTCTTTTTATTGTAGCAACAAATGACCCATGAAGTAAGCATCATTTGAGATTTCAAAAACCGGCATTCAATTTCCAAACCTTCTGCTGTGAGTTTTGTGCATGATCAATCTATATGAGTAAGTAATTCAAGCTCATGCTTTCGTGTTATCTCAAAACATTTGTTAAAGAATTCCCATTCAGAATGTTTATAAGCACAAATATAATCTGTGGATTCGATCAAATCAGAGCTAAAACATTGGTTAAACTGTTTTGATATTC